GAGAAGAGGAAGCTGCAGGTGAACATTGCGAGTCCCATCCAGTGCAGCATGAATGGCAGAAAGTGCACGGTCATCGTTGAGGCCAAGATCAACCAGTCGCAGCCGGACTTCACCAAGAGCCGGTCTGGGTACATCCTGGCTGTTCCTGGCAACTAAAGTGGGCCGAGACAGAAAAAGCAGCTGATTTTGAAGCCGTCTTGAATAATAATGATGATGATTCACTTGTTGTGTTGTTTTGCAGAGCTGCTAATAATGTGACAGAGCAGCTCGGTCCTCAGTTTGGAAAGCAATGCCAAATTTGAATTTTTAGTTGAATTCTAGGCGTTTTGTTTTTTTAAATATGCACTATATGATTATGCACCAAAGAGGTGTTCGTTCTTTTTTTAGAATCAAAAATTGAAATGATTTGCTTTGTGCAATATTTTTTTTTTATTGTGCATTGATTATTTTGAGTGGAGGTGAGAGGAGATTATGCAGCAACTGTTCTCAGAACCACTGATGTTGCATAAGAGACAAAAAAAATAAAATCCAAAGGCTTTGCAGCAATTCATAATCCCTGCAGCTCCGTGTGTAGGAGCCACATCAAAAGTGAAACCATAAAGAGAAAATTCGCGTATGACTTTGATTCATCTAAATTGCTTTAAAACAGTAGAAACCTGTTTTTGTTTCCTAAATAACTTTAATTATAATTACTTTAGTTGCAGACTTGCCTGCGTAAGCGGTGAGTGGAAGGTTGTCCACTTATAGTTTGTTTTAATAGTTACAATCACATAAAAGGACAGTGAGCGAGAATCAAACAGCACATTTTTTAGTTTTAGTCACAGGGTGTTGAGCTGGATGTGTTGAGCACATCCTGAACTTTGCAGCCAGCACCATGGAAAAAAATCTACTAATTTTAATCTTGTAATCTTATAGTTTCTGTGCGATGTCTGCAGTTTTATAATAAACACGCTAACGCTGCTTATGTGAGGTTAGAACGTGCTGTTTGTGAACAGCAGTGCAAATATGTGTACATGCAGAACTTACACTGCGTTTGGTGTAAACAGGGATTCTGTAACTCGTTAACAAAAGTCAAATAAGTGGATGATGACATAAGCGTTACTTTGTTCCCTACAAGTGTTTTCAGTCCATATTTTCTCCAAACGTGAGACTTCGTGTTCTTACTGGCCAGTACTGTATAATCCCATGTGAACTCCAGCTCCTAAATGCACTCTCATTTGCTGTCTTTGTGTCCAGTGAATAGCCTGATGACTTGTAGTGGCCCTTAGTCCTTTGGAATAGGCTTCCACTTGACAAATATCCCCTTCATCAAAGGAGAGTGAGTGTGTGTGAGTGCGATTGAGGGAGTCTGTGTGTGTTGATTAGCTCTTTTCGCTCTTCACTTCTTGGCTCAGAGAGGCTGGCTGGTAGCCACCAAGAAGGAGCGAGGACAGAAGGGTGTGACGTCTTTAGTCAGACTGCTGTCCCCATGACTTTTCGTATATTTTGTGGTCTATTCAGAGACTTCATTTACATCTTATCTCACTAAAAAAAAAATTAATCACACTTCTCAAAGTGTGAAAAGCCAAATTGTACTAATCTAATCATCAGCGCGTGAAAGTGGCTCTGGGTCTAATTTGTAATGTTCTTACAAGCTGTTGGGTGAGTGTCCATTGTTAGCACATTCCAATATGCTGTTGTTGTGTTTTTTTTAGAATAATTACAACAAACCGTGGCAGCATAAAAATTGCAATATGTGTCTTTATGTGCATTGGATGGTGATATTCAAATTTCGGTGGTTTTCAGCAGTGCACATACAAACAAAACCAGGAAGCTTCCTGCAGAGTAGATCTTGAATTGTAAACACAGATGGCTGTGAAACTACAGTCGATGGAAGCCTGATGCTCATCTTCAGACGGCAACAACGCTCTTTGCTTTTCTTGTGTAAATACAGTTTTGCTACCATGCAACAAATATGAGGATTGTGAGCTTAAAAGTAAAAACTCTTGACTCTGGCAGTTTTAAAATCATTCACACATAATAGTTGGTTTTTCAGGGTCTTTTGATAAAAGTGCGTAATTTTGATCAGCAGATGACATTTCTACTTAACAAAAAATGCTTGACAACATTTTTATAGCTAGAAAGCTGCATTCAAGAACTTCACAGATGCAGGTATTGAGCTAAATGCAGCACTTAACATACTAATAAAATTAAAATTAAAATGGGTTCTTTCTGATTTGTCATTTGTTACCAAAAACATCTGCTAATGAAAGTCAGGTTGGTTCTAAAATAGGGAAGGAACAGTTATGCTGTCGGATGCTTTTGTTGAGTCCAAAGATTATCGGAAACTTTTAGTACTATATAATTATTCTGCCCACAGTCACAGGGCTGCATTGTCTCTGTGCAAAGACACAGGAAAGAATCTGGGTTAAGGAACAACAGCCCAAGGTTAGCAATGTAGTTCCCTCTGTGTCTGCCCTAGTTGAAGAGGCAGGCTTCGTCACAACTGAGAGGAAAACTTGTTAGCAGTCGTTTTAGCCACAGTAGCTGAGTTCTCTGACTGTGTCTGAGTGTTGTATGAACAAGTCATTTATCTAAATTAGCTTGTGAGTGCCTCTCTCCCCCATTTTTA